AGGAGACATCTGTAGCTGGTGCTGTATGGTGGGGCCTGCTTGGGGAGGGGGTGCTGGGGACTCAGCAGCAGTTTTCCACCACAGGGAGACCCTCTCCAAAGCAGGTCACAGAACCCCTGCCATGTGGCCCACATACCCCCTTTTCCTTTGAAATCCAGTTCCAATGAAGGGCTATTAGCTTAGGGTACCCTCTGACCAGACTGGCTGGTAGGTCTGAGCTACCTCTCTCTGTCCCTTTTTTCCAGCCTGTTCTGAGCAGGATGGTTTGAGCTGCTTCCTTGGGGTCACTGTGGGGTTGGAAATGGTAGAGGAGCCAGAGCTCAATGGGAGGGAGGGGGATAGGCTTGGCTTTTGAACTTGGCTGTGAGTCCAAAAATGTGAGAGCATCACAAGGAGCCAAGCACATTCCCAGCTCTGGGCAGAAGCTCTTCAAGAATCGAGGACTGGGCTTCTCAGCCTCCTTCCTTTCTGTCTTCCTTCTCTGCTCACAACTCCCTGCATGTGTCTTCCTCTTGCTCCTGATCACGTCTTTCCAGCTCTGTACTCCTGGGGTGTTTGACACAGTCTGGGGGTCCTCAAACTTTTCCAGTTCCTTTTGCTGGCCCCAAACTAGTTAGGTCCAACTTCTTGCCTCACTGCATGCCCCCGACCAAACTACATGCCTGTGACCTCATCCCACCCCCATGCCCACATCACTATCTCCCCTACCTTCACCGTCCACACAGTCCCACGTCATGTCTGTCATCGTATAGGGAAGAATGTGAAATAATGTAGAAACAGTATGGGTTTTGGTGTCACACAAGCTTGGGGTTGAATTGCATCTCTGACATCTAGCTCTGACCTTGGACATGTTACTGAATGTTTCTCAGTTCCTTATTCATAAAATGGGGATCATATTGTCTACACAATGAGGCTGATGTGAAGATTATATATTATAGACATAGGGATGGTATAATTGGTAGGAATAAAGGCTTTGGAGTCAGGCTGACTAGGATTCAAATTCCAGCTCTTCACTTATTAATTGTGTGACTTTAGGTGAATTTCTGAACCTACTGAGCCTTAGTTTGCCCATCTGTATCTATCTTACAGCATTGCTGTAGTAAATGAAATGATACAAGTATAGTAATAGCTCAGTGCTTGGCCCATAATACATCCTCAATAAGTGAGAGCAATTGTTACTATTGTCTTAATTGCAATGAAGGATGTTCAATAAATGCCTTCTCCCCTTCTCTTTCCTAATTTTCTTAAATGCCTCGTCCACACCTCTTAGAAGAATGTCAGGATTCCCAATTGAGAAGGGAAGGACAGTAATCAGGGTGTGCTTTTTCCTAGTGTAGGGTCAGAGGGAAAGAAAAAGTCCAGCCCACAAGAGCCGTGTTGGGGGTAGGTAAGGTTCTTTCAAGATTCTAGGGAGTGGCTGCACTCATGGGGCAGCAGTTTGTCAGATGTAATGTGCAATCACCTGATGACGGAGAGAACACCCCAGGAAGGCAACTGCATCCCCTGCACCCCTGCTCCCATTTGAACAGCCTTGTGCTGGTGGTTTGATTCCCACTTTAGGGTGGAGGAGCCCATGAGAGTTGAGATTGTGAGGACACCTCCATTTCCACCCCAGAACATCTCCTCTTTCCCTGCAGAGTGGTGAAGGAGGAGATCTCAGACGACAACGCCAAGCTGCCCTGCTTCAATGGCCGGGTGGTGTCCTGGGTAAGGAGCCCTCCTCCGCCCTCCTTCCACCCGAGTTCCTGCCGTGGGCTGGACGGAGGAAAGGCATCACTGAGGTTGTAGCTGGTGGTTTTATGCTTCGATATCTGAATCTTCCTTGAGTTTTCTAACTGAACAGTTTCTACCCCAGATTCTATAGCCTTGGTGAAAAGTGGGGGAGTGGTGGGAAGTGGGGAAAGGCAGACACAGAAACACATATTGGAGACAAAATTGTCTCCCATGCCCTTTGAGGCACTTTGCCTCAGTTTCCCTTCTGTCACCTGCCGACCTCTGCCTTGGACCACTGATCCTGGTTCTCTGCCCCTATCCCACTTCACCAACCCATGCCTCCCTGTTACCTGGCAGTGTGTCCACTTCTCATCTCACTGCCCTTCCATAGCCCTGTCTCTTCTCCCTTCACATCCCCTGCTTCATTCTCCCCAAGTCTTCAGGCCCTACTAGAAGCCAACTATCCCTACTTCTCCCTGGCACCCCTGTGCCTTACTACCTACCCATTTTCTCCCCATCAGCTAGTGTCAGCTGAGGGCTCACACCCAGAGCCAGCTCCCTTCTGTGCTGATAACCCATCAGAGCTGCCACCACCCATGGAGCGCACGGGAGGCATTGGGGACTCCCGGCCCCCATCCTTCCAGTGAGTATAACCTAAGGATGGGGAGGGCCTATCGGGGAGGGCCCCGTCAGCTCAGCCTAGGGCTGGGGGAGGGAGCCCCCAGCCTGCCCCCTCCCCCACCAAGTCCTCTCTTCCCTGCAGCCCTCATGCTGGTGGGGGCAGCCAGGAGAACCTAGACAATGACACAGAGACGGACTCGTTGGTGTCTGCCCAGCGGGAGCGACCACGCCGGAGGGATGGCCCAGAGCACAGTGCGTCTTCTCTGAACAAGATGCCTTTACCACCCCCATGCCCTTCCCACAGCTTCCACTCAGCTGCCCACATCTTTGCCCTACTTCCTGAGCTCTGGATATGCCTGGCCCAGTGCAGCCCCTGTCCTCCCTTCCCTCCTGCATTGGGCACTGTGAACCCAGCTGCCTCCATCCCCTGCAGCAACCCGGCTAAATGGAACTGCAAAGGGGGAACGGCGGCGAGAGCCAGGGGGTTATGACAGCTCGTCCACCCTTATGAGCAGCGAGTTGGAGACCACCAGCTTCTTTGATTCGGACGAGGATGACTCCACCAGCAGGTGGGGCTTTGGTTTCATGAGTAGTACTGTGGGGCAGGTGACCCCTGTGGAGCCCTGCCTGGGAGGGATGTGGGCTTTGTGCTGGGGACCAGGGCCCTGCAGTGCCTCTTATGGGGCAGGACTAGGCCAGCCTGGTGGGGAACGACTGTGGGCCCCACAGGTTCAGCAGCTCCACAGAGCAGAGCAGCGCCTCACGCCTGATGAGAAGACACAAACGGCGGCGGCGGAAGCAGAAGGTGTCCCGGATTGAGCGGGTATGGGCCCTGGGGTTCTAGGGATCGGTGGGGCCGGGCCAGGGCTTGTGCTTGCTTAGATCCCCTCCCCTTGAGTCAGTGTTTAGAACCTTAGAGGGGAGGTGCTGCTGAGGGTTCACCTGGAGGAGGAGCTAGGTGGGAGCAGTGAGTTCCTGCCACCTCTGCCTGCTGTTCAGGGGCTCTGTCTATTACAGTCCTCGTCCTTCAGCAGCATCACGGACTCCACGATGTCACTCAACATCATCACGGTCACTCTCAACATGGGTGAGTCTGGTGAAACAATACTCGAGTGCCTACTGTATGCCAGACACTAGGCAGACTCGAGGAGTTCAAAGAGGCACGAGTCATGTTCCCTGCCCTCAAGGAGCTCTCGTTCATAAACATAAACTGGTACATGAGCTGATCATTTCAGTATCTCAGATCAGGGCTATGACAAAGAGAAGCACCGAGAGCTATGGAAGCAGTGAAAGGCATCAGGGAAGGTTTCCTGGAGGAGGTGATTTCTGATTCCTTCCCCCTTTCCATTTTTCAGCCGTTGCATTCTTGCTCTCTGATGTCTGCCCTAGGTACTCTCTTTAGGAGATAGCTGGGCGTAGTGAAAAAAGCCCGAACTTTGGAATTTAAATCTGAGTTTGAATACTGGTTTTGCCACTTAATGGCTTAGAAAAGTCACTTAGAGTCTCTGAACCTCAGTTGCCTGCTCTGTAAAATGGGACTGAGTCCCTGCTCGCAGCCAGCAAGGATTAACTAAAAGCCTGTTTGAGCATGCCGAACACAGTGCCTGATTCCGGTTAATAAATGTTAGTTCTCGTCCCTTTCCACACTTTCTAATAAGGGACTCCCAATTTGGGTAGGAACCTTGCTCTCCTCTCAAGGTCTTGTTACTCCCTGTAGAAAAGTATAACTTCTTGGGCATCTCCATTGTGGGCCAAAGCAACGAGCGCGGTGACGGAGGCATCTACATCGGCTCTATCATGAAGGGTGGGGCTGTGGCTGCTGATGGACGCATCGAGCCAGGAGATATGCTGTTACAGGTACCACTGGTCTCCCTGGCTGGTGGTATGGATAGGGAGTGGGGAGATGTACCCTCTGTACCCGCTCATTCTTCCTATCCTCCATACTCTATGCAGAGGCTCCTTCTTGGTGGGGGGAAGACGCCCTGACCCACCAAGCTTCCCTATCCCCATCCCCAACCATCTGCTTATCCCACTCCTGGTCCTCTTTCCCAGGTAAACGAGATCAACTTTGAGAACATGAGTAATGACGACGCAGTCCGGGTACTACGGGAGATTGTGCACAAACCAGGGTATGGATGGGATGGGGCATTGCAGAGGTGGGGCAGGTATTTCTGGCTGTCAGGCAAGGAGCTTGTCTGGCCTCCACACATCCTGCCCTCATTAGGGACACCCTTGCTTTCAGGCCCATCACCCTGACTGTAGCCAAGTGCTGGGACCCAAGTCCACGTGGTTGCTTCACATTGCCCAGGAGTAAGTGGATGGGGAACTTGTCCCTAAAGCTGGTGCCTGGCATACGTGAGCCCTGTGTCTACTGCCTTCTGTGTTGCCCTGAACTCTCACACCTACCCTGGTGGGCCTGGCAGCCCCTGATTCCTCATCCTCCCTGCAGGCGAGCCCATCCGGCCCATTGACCCTGCGGCCTGGGTCTCCCACACTGCAGCCATGACTGGCACCTTCCCTGCCTACGGCATGAGCCCCTCCCTGAGCACCATCACCTCCACCAGCTCCTCCATCACCAGCTCCATCCCTGACACAGAGCGTGAGTGTCCAACCCAGTCCCCTGGGCCCAGCAGACAGGGCCAGGTGGGAGGGACTGATGAAAGCCCACAGACTCTTGCTTGAAAGTCAGAGAGAGCTAGAGAGGGGAATCATTTCATTTCAGCTACCTCACACTGCCGCTTCCCTCAGTGGACACCCGACCCTCACTAAACAGTGTTTGCTTTTGAACCAGTAGTGAGCACTCAGTGAGCCTCAGTTTCCTCTTATAAAACGGGACTAATGATATGCACTTTACCACATTCCTGGGGGCTTAACGAGAGGATATAAGTGAAACATTGATCACAGTGAGTGGCATAAAGTAAGCACAATAATGACTGCCATTTTTGTTACCATAACACATATTATATACTGTGCTAAGCACCTTTATTTACATTATTTATTTCTCTTCAAACATCCTTGTAAAATAGATATTAAAGTCCCTTTTTTTATGGAAGGGGAAACTGAGTGTCCAAGAGGTCAGTAATTTACCCAACATTGGTCCATATTTATTAGGTGGTAGAGCTGGAAGGCACACTCCTGTCTACCTAAGTCCACAGCTCCTTTTCACCTCACCATTCTGCCTCCCACCCCCAGGCCTAGACGACTTCCACCTGTCCATCCACAGTGACATGGCCGCCATCGTGAAAGCCATGGCCTCCCCTGAATCCGGGCTAGAGGTCCGAGACCGCATGTGGCTCAAGATCACCATCCCCAACGCTTTCATCGGTGAGAGGCCCCATGGTGGGATAAAGGACAGGGTGGGGAGTAAGGGCCCAGGGCAGGCCGGGTGCCAAGAGCTGGAACCAGCCCCGGCCCCTTGGCTTCTGTGAGGCCAGATGAGCCCAAGTCAGGTGGGCCTCCCAATCAAGTGGCGGCCTTGCCTCCAGGCTCGGATGTGGTGGACTGGCTATACCACAACGTGGAAGGCTTCACTGACCGGCGAGAGGCCCGCAAGTATGCCAGCAACCTGCTTAAAGCCGGCTTCATCCGTCACACTGTCAATAAGATCACCTTCTCCGAGCAGTGCTACTACATCTTCGGCGACCTCTGCGGCAGTATGTTCCTCCCCACCTCCTTACCCTGTCTCCTGGCTGGGACTGGGGAGGTGCCCAGGGATGTGGCAGCTGAGTCCAGGGAACCTGAAGGAGGGGGCAGCTGAGCTGGGGGCCCAGCTCAAGGCCTGAGAGTTCCGTGGTGGAAGCAGAGCCCGGTCCAGCCTCTTCACCTGCCCTGCAACCCCCTCGAGGGGCTGGCATTTTCTAAATGCCTGCTCTGTGCCTGGCATCGTGCTGGTTGTTTCTGAAGCATCATCTCACTTTCTATCAATCCTCACGACCTCCTCCCCGCCCTTGGGGAGATGGATGACTATGCCTGTTTTCAGATGAGGAAACAGACATGTAGAAGTTAAATAGCCCACCCCATGTCTCACAGCTAGAAGCAGAGGAGCTAGGCCATGAGTCCAGGTCGTTCTGGCTCCAGAGCCCTGGTTCTTTCCACCATCCGGGGCTGCCCAGGTGTGTGGTGCTGCAGATACATTGTCTCAGCAAGGCCAAATAGAGTTCCTACCTTTGGCCCTTGCTCAGCCTTCTCACACCAAGCAGCTTCCAGCAGCGCAGGACCTGGGGCTGGCCTGAGGCCCCAAATCCACAGCTTCCTCAGACCCTTGTGGTGGGCTGTGCCTTGGGATGGAGCTGGCGATGCTATCAGGGCCAGGTTGTAGAGGACTCAGCAAGCTGTACAGAGAGTTTGGACTTGATCCTAAGCGAGTACAAAGCCAATGAGGGTTATTAAGCAAGAGAGGTCTGTGTGGAACTCCCCCTCTCCTTCTGAGCCTGAGGACAGCTCTGGGGAAGGGGAGTCCTTGAAACAGGACAGCATTGTGGAGGGATGGAAGCTGAAGCCCACCCTCAGCAGCCACTTCTGCCTGAGGGAGCCTTCTCTCAGCCCAGTGGTGCTGGCTCAAGTTCAAAAACTAATTCTTAAAATGATTCAGATTTGGTTCTAGGGACTAGAAAGGCTGTTTCTGCAGAGCACAAGTCCTGGTGGAGAGTGGGTCCCTGGCCCTCAGCAGCTCCAGCATGGCCCCATGGAGTAGTGATAGATATATAGGGTTTTGGAGTTCTGAGTTCAAAGTCTAGTTCCACTCTTACTGTGTGAACACGCGTAAGTAACAGCCTCTCAGTGGCTCAATTTCTTGATCTATGAGGTAATAGTAGAACCTATCTCACAGAGGTGTTTTGAGGATGATATAAAATAATGTATATAATACTTTTAGCACCATGTTTAGCCCACAGTAAGTGCCCTAAGAAAGTTGTCCATTATTCATGTATTTAATTGATTCTAAGGTGAACATTTTTTCCATATTTCAACATCTCTGAAGTTGGGGTGCATCTTACAATCAATGGCTTCTTAATCAAATGTGGTTACTATCATCCTTAGCAGAAGTCAGCCCTAACCCCAAATTTCCAGGGACACACTTTTCAGAATAGCTGTGGCTTTTGCTCAAGAGACCTTGTTCCATCCCTGAATGGTAGATCTTCTACCCATGGACTAAGGCCACCAGAGGCCCAGCTCAGAATGATGCTGACAGAACAGGCCTCTTCCTTCTCACTGGCTGAGAGTTCCTCAGCTGGGAGTGTGGCAGTCTCAAAGGGAAGATCTGAGGACCTGGGTAGGCCTAGGAGCACACAGTCACTTTCCGTCCCTACGCCCCCGCCTTGAGAAGACAGCCTAGAGACTGAAATGGTCAACAGTTCTTTGAGCATGAGCCAAGGCCGGCCCCTGCTTCCCACCACCACCACCTTCCATGCTAGCTGCTTCACAGGTTCATGGCTTGGCTGGCAGACCTCACGGGTGCTTCAGCCCCCTCAGAGCCCCCTCTCCTGTCCTCTTCTCTCCTGGAAGATTGGGCTGGCTCACTTAGGGTCTTGGAACAGGGACTCGGTCTGTATCTGGCAGCTGGCCCCTAGTAATTACAGCTTTCTCAGATGAAATATGAGCAAGGGGTGTCCTAACGCAGGTCATTAGTCTTAGTGGACCCTCACACTTCCTTTCCGGGTAGTTCCAGGATTGGTGAGGGCAGCTTTGCCCTTAAGGAGTGCACAATTTACTAGGAAAGAAACAGTCATGAAAGAAGTGATGGTAATACAGTGAGAAAAGTGCTATGAAGAACCAGGCCTGGCTGGGAATGGGATGGAAAGCACAGAGGAGACACCTAAGTTGTTCTCTTTCTGAGCCCTTCTCACCTCATTCCCACCCTCCCCAGCAACTCTAGAAAATTGATCTGAGCCTTCTATATGGGGAGTTTCTGAAAGGCCCTATGTTCTTTCTGGCTTTTAATGGGCATTTTTTTTTTTTTTAGTACCAGGTGAGGAGGGAGAGCAAATTTTCTCCCAAAATTTCCCCAAACTGCTTCCTGGGAGTTGGGTGTCAGGATTTGGCATTGAGGCTCTGAAGTGGTGATTCAGAGCCTTCCAGAGTAGGGTTTTCCCTCTGGCAGTCTCTACAGGGTCTCCCTCTCCATCTGGGGAAGGGAGGCTGAAGGAGGAATGAGAGATCTCTGGCCTATGTCTCCTCCCATTCTGGGGAGAAACTACCGCTGCTATTTCTATCATCTCAAATGCACCCAACTGACCTAGGCCAGGACCTCTCTTCTGATATAGGGGTGCGGGGGCATGGGAGAGTACCAGCTCATCTGGCCCTTTCCTGCCCTCCACAGACATGGCCAACCTGTCCCTCCATGATCACGATGGCTCCAGTGGTGCCTCTGACCAGGACACTCTGGCCCCTTTGCCACACCCTGGGGCCGCCCCTTGGCCCATGGCTTTCCCTTACCAGTATCCACCGCCCCCGCACCCCTACAACCCGCACCCAGGCTTCCCGGAGCTGGGGTACAGCTACGGCGGGGGCAGTGCCAGCAGTCAGCACAGTGAAGGTAAGGAAGAGGGGGCCGTGGGGATAGGGTGGGCACAGGCGAGCCCTAGGCTTCCTCCGCAAGCTCTGAGCGTCCCCCACCCTGTCTCTGCCTGTCCCTTACAGGCAGCCGGAGCAGTGGCTCCAACCGGAGCGGCAGCGACCGGCGGAAGGAGAAGGACCCAAAGGCCGGGGACTCGAAGTCGGGCGGCAGCGGCAGCGAGTCCGACCATACAACCCGCAGCAGCCTGCGGGGGCCAAGGGAGCGGGCCCCCAGCGAGCGCTCGGGGCCTGCTGCCAGCGAGCATAGCCACCGCAGCCACCACTCGCTGGCCAGCAGCCTGCGCAGCCACCACACGCACCCGAGCTACGGCCCCCCTGGCGTGCCCCCTCTCTACGGCCCTCCCATGCTGATGATGCCCCCACCGCCCGCGGCCATGGGCCCCCCAGGAGCCCCTCCTGGCCGCGACCTGGCCTCGGTGCCCCCCGAACTGACCGCCAGCAGACAGTCCTTCCGCATGGCCATGGGAAACCCCAGTGAGTTCTTTGTGGATGTGATGTGAGCAGGGCCCCTTCCCCACTTCCATCCCACCCCTACCCTGGCTGGCTGCGTCCCTCTCTCCATCCTTACGTCTTTTTTACTTTGTCTGGTACCTAAAAGGGAAATAAACAGAACTAAATCCAGGCGCGCTAACTGCTCGCTGGGCTCAGTGAGGGCGGGAAGCACCCACCGATTGCCACTGCAGCCCCTAACCTGCCATGGCTCCAGCTTGTCCCTTTGCCTACTAACCGCTACACAGGACTTCCCAGGATCCTTCATGTCCCTGGGACCCGACTTGCTGGTGCTGTTCCTTACTCTCTTCTCTGCATACACTTCAGGAGTCAACCTCAGCAGTGCCCTTGAGGGCCTGCTCAGACCCTTATCCCCACCTTTGCCCCATCAGTTTCACTATTCATTCACCTACACCATCCCTCTGTTAACCTCATCCCCTAAAGCATGTGTGCCAATCTCTTGACTTTTCCCCACAATACTGACACCAAAAAAAACTTGCTTCATCTGTTCCTCCTCCTAACTGTCCCTTGCCTGCTGCCTGTACCCTAGAGCTGTGATCACCTCCAGTAACTATCCCTGCCTGTGGTGGGCCCTTACCAGAAGCCCAGGGGGCCCTCAGTTGCCTGATCCGCTAGTGGCTTCAAGGGAGCATCTCTGCTCTACCCCACCACCATCCATCCCACCTTGCCTGCAATTGTGTGCTGGTTCCTGCAGACCCCTAACCCTACTAACCAGCAGGCTCATCTCACCTCTGGGCCTGAAACATTTCTTCTCTTTCTTTTTTCCTCCCCCAATTTTTCCTGGGCCTGGAGCAGCCAAGAATTTCGGGCTGTTTGACTTTCTGTGAGCCCCCAGCGAGGGGAGGCCCAGCCTCCGAGGAGACCAGGAACCATGCTTCAGCAGCCCCTCAGGGCTTCCCAAGGATATTCAGCCCCCATACCCACACTTCAACATGTTGAGTCACTAGGCTTCTGGGGAGGGCCCTGGCCACTTGCTCACATATGGCTCTATTCGCCTTTCCAGAGAGTGTGTGGGTGCTATTTCTTTCTCTCTTTCACACATGTGTACACACACACACACCTATGCAAGTCCACTTAAGCTTTAGGGCTGGTCCCTGCCCAGAGGGCTGGACCCTCTCTCCAATCCTCTCCCAGGTTGTGGGGCTGGTCCCAACTTAACCTCTACCCTTCCCTTCCTCGTAGTCCTCAAGCATTCCGCACATGTCCTCATCATCTTCCTACCTTGGTAAATCATAAGCTGGGTCTCAGGCTGGGCTCAGCGGACAACTGACAGACTGTTCTCACCATGCCTCCTGCTGCACAAACCCTTTCCTGTTTTTACAATCACCATGATACCCCAAAGCAAAGTTGGGCAGGGGGACTTCTGGGACTTCCAGACAGAGTGCCAGGTTTTATTTTTTTTACCTTACTTTACAATTTGAACAAATCATGACTTTCTCTTTAAGCCTCTTCTATAAATTCTGACTCACCTAGGTTTCCCTATTCAGAACTGGGATGTCAAGAGTGAGGTGAAGTGACTAAGCTCCAGGATTTGGGGTAAACCAGGGTAGGGGCATTTCAGCATTCATTCATTTAACAAAGACTCCCTGGGGTTTTCAGTGAGTGAGGGCTGTGTTGGAAGTCTAACTCAGTCTTGCCTGCCTTCTGGAAGCTCTGGGTTTGCTCCCAGCCCAGACCATGGCTTCCTGTAGCCACCACAATAGGGCTGCCTCCTGTACTTCTTTCTTCTTTGACTCTGCTTTGTCTTAACTCTCTTGAGAATTCCTCCCTATTGCTCATGCCTTCAGTGTTGGTGCTCCCAGTGTTCATTACACTTCTCTTTCCTATTTACTCCCCAAATGGTGTCATCTATCCTAATGTCCTCAGCTGCCACTGATATGCTGATGATTCTCATATATATACATCTCCAGCCCCAATTTCCCTCCAACCTTTAGATCTGTATTTTTATCACTCACTAGACATCTCCGTGGACATGTCCATGTGGACTCAACTAATTTCCCCCACCACCTCCTGAATTCCAACCCTGGTTACCTTCATCACAATCCACATAGGCTCACCAGCTAGAAACATTTATGGGCTTAAATTCTTTCCCATATCTTACTAGTCAGCAGGTCATATCCATTCTACTCCAATATTTCTTGAATTTGGCCCTTCTTCTCGCCTCTGCCTCTACTCTAGTTCACAGGAGCATGGGATTTGGAGTCAGGTTGTTCTGGGTTTGAATCCCAGCTCTACTACTTTTTGGTTGTGTGATAAGAGAGTTATTTAATCTCTCTGAGCCTCAGTTCCCTCACATGTAAAATGATGATAATAATACCTACCTCACAGGGTTGTTGTGAGGATTTAAATTAGATATTGTACGAAAAGTGCCTAGCACAGTGCCTGGCACACAGTAGGATAGGTGCTCAATAAATGGTAGCTATTATTATTATTATTATTTATTATTATTATCTCTAAATTGGTAAAGGCTTAGGGTATGTATTGAAGAGAAAGCTTTTGGAAAGGTAGGAATGAAGCCTTGAGTGCTGGTTCAGGAATCAGAAGTGCCTATATTCAGTCACTTAATGACTTCAGGCTATAACCATGATTTGAATGAAGGAGGCCGGATCTTTATTTTACCACATTCTGGCTTCTGGCAAGAGGATGCTAGGGGCAGTAAGGCTTGCAAGGTTTGCCCTTTTTTACCCTCCCTTCCTCCAATGATGATCTCAGCCCTAACTAGGGAAGGCTTCATGGTATCTCTCCCTACAGAAAGAGGAGAGCCAACAGATCTTCAGGTCCTGCAAGAGCCAGGCAGGCCTTTCATGTTCAAGGCTTGGCTCTGTCTTTTCTTCTAAGCTTGGACATGAAGATTAACACTGTCCATCAGAAGGGATTTCAAATCCCATGTCCAATTAAATTCAACTTGCCAGCGGTTTTCTAAGCAACATATATACCTGTCACTAGAAGGCACACAGGCTCTGGCCTTGAGCTGACAGTCACATAGGTATAGCTGGAGTAGAACATGGACATATTCCTGAAAAGCTTTAGCTAGTTTCTTCCAAGTATTTGCTTCCTCACCCACCATCCCCTTCCTTGAGTCTTGATCTCCAGGGTAAGGCTCATGTCTGGCACAAATATATGATTTAAAAAAACTGGGTAGAATCAGATGTGATGTTAGAAAGCAGTAAATTCAGCAAAAACACTTCTACTGCCAACTCGTGTGTTGTGTGTAAAGTGAGGCCAGTCAGTCCTCGGACTTTGGAGACAGAAAAGGCCTGCAGCAATCCAAAGCTTAACCAATAGGGTTCAACAAACGGCCCTGTGATTCTGAGGCATTCTTAAAACACCGGAATAGGAAGGAGAGGAACTGCAATTCCCAGAATGCTCAGTGGGGAAAATTAAATGAGCGGAACGGCGAACGCTGGGATGTGTACTTCGGACAGGGTTGGATAACGCCACTCCTACCCTCCCCCTCGAAGGTTCTCGAAGGCAGTCGGTAGTTGTAGTTTTGCCAAACCTAGAGAGCTTAAAATTGTAAGAGAGCAGTCTCAGGGTCTGAAGGGATTTGTAGTCCGCGCGGAAGGCGGACGCGCACGCGCACGCGCATCTGAGGCCGGGGCGGGGCCGCGGCACTGCGGCGAAAGCAGAGGCATCGGGCAGGCAAGCAGGGGGCGGGCGGACATCTTGGAATCCGGAGAGTGGCCGGGCGGGCGGAGCAGGGGGCCGCGGACACCAGGTGAGCTCGGGATCTAGCCTTACGGGGTGAGGGAGGACGCCTGCCCCGCTGCCCAGCTTTGCCCTTCCCTGCACTGCGCTACGCGGAAAGCTGTCCACACCCAGGAGTGGCCTCAGCCTTCAGCTCTCCGCGGGAGCTGAAGGCTGGGCGGGGGCGCCCAGGGCGCGGTTGCAAGACCGGCGGGGAGCGGCGCCCTCCACTTGACCCGCCCGGCGCCTCCTGTGAGAGGGAGAGGGAGACCCACAGGAATCCTCCCAGAGGAGGTGCGCCGCGCGGCGCCCGTCTCCTTGAGATCGTGACAACAACCCTTGCCCTCGGCGCCTCCTCTCAGCGCAGGGACAATTTCCCAACCCCCTAGAACAGTGACACCCCCTTGTGTCGCCTCCTTGGACTGTGACAAGCCTCCCACCCTGCGGCACCCCTTCTTCCCAGTTGAGTGACACCCTGTGGCTCTTATTTCTCAGACCTGTGACAGCCCCGCACCCCGTGGAATCATTTTTTTTTCTGCGATGTCTTCCTACCCAGAGCGAAAAGCCCACCTCCTACCTCTACACCTGAACCCCACCCAAAGCAGGGCCTGTCACCCCAGCGTTCCCTTATTCACCACTGCCGATCTCCCCCACCTCTGCTGACTTTCCTCTTCAAAGCCCTGACCTTTGCCATACTGAAACTCTTTCCTCCAGGTGCCCCCCGCCAGCCCCGTTGCTGCTGCGGTCTGTATATATGCCCGCCTGAGTATATTGCCTGGCTGTTGCTGCCAGTCTTTTCACTTAACTAAATATTCCGTTCCTGTCCTGGGCCCCACCTCTACTTCTCTGGTGCCGGAGCTGTCTACCACTTGATACCTGTGAACTTGGTTCTTTGCCCAGGGCTCCACCTCCATTTTGCCTTTCATCTCCCAGTCTCTTTGGCACTGAGAAATGGGCTGTGTCCACCACCTTGAAAGACCTCTCACTGAGTCTGGGAGACTTTGATGGCCACAGTAATAGGCTTTATTTTACAGTTTTGAAAAGTCTGCTAAACTCCCCCCTGTGAAATTAATACCAGGGTAACCCAGGAAATCTAGAACTAAATTAACCCTTTTTGTTCATGCCAACAGTCGTAGTTTGACCCAAATAATTTGGATAATTCAGGCATCCTCTCCCTTGCTTGTAGGCAGTCAGGCCAGGAGTGAGTTATGTTGTGGGTCTGGAATCACAGAATTTCAGCTGAAAGGATCTCTTAATTGTATGTACCTGCATCTTGCCTCCCCCCTCGCCCCCACCCCCCGCCCAGCTTATTTTTATTGCACTCGGGGAGCTAAGAGAGAGCCTCCCTTTTTGAAAGAGGGGGTGGTCAAAAATAACTAAGAAGCAGCTTGGGTCACTGAAGTTAGTTGGCCAGGGCTGAGGCCTTTCCCTTCTGCTCTTTTGCCTGCTTATCAGACTGCATGGTAGAGCCTAAGGCCTCCCTTCTTTCCTCCTCCCCCAACCCTGCACACCCTTTCCTGGAATGTTTAGACTTCTGTGAATTAGAGAGCCAGAGGTTCAGGCCCTGCCTCCTTCTCAGAAGGGTAGTGGAGCCTAAAACTAAGACTCCATGCTTCTAAAGCTGTGCCTGGGGCCTGAACCTACTGGAGTAATTCCTACCGCTGTTCCTGCAGCCTCAGGCAGGCCTTAGCAGTGACTCACTGGTTGGGGAGCCTCAGTAAGAGTCTGCACAGGAAGGGGCCGCAAAGGATCCTCCTTGAGCTCAGCTCTGTGAAAAGGGGAAAGGGGCTACTCTCTGGGCTCAGCCCCAGAAAAGGGAGGGTCAAAATGGCCTTAGAATCCTGGGCCCAAGTCCCTTACCATTTCTTTCTCCTTTCCAGTGTGGGATAAACAGGAACTGGAGCCTGGCTAAGGGGAGGGGCATGCCTGTGAGGGCTGCAGGGTCACTTGCTGGAAAGTTGAGTCAGGAAAAAAAGCCCAGATTATGACCTGCACAGCCCCACAGGGGACGCAGGCAGGGTTTATGAGGCCTTCCCTTACCCTGTCCCTGCTTATCCTAGGTCTGTTCTCAGAGCGATGGGACTCAGAGACTGAGCTGCCGCCATGATTGGAGGTTTATTCATCTATAATCACAAGGGGGAGGTGCTCATCTCCCGGGTCTACCGAGATGACATCGGGTGAGTCCCCTGGCTGAGCCAGCTGTGCCCCCCACCTTCCCATCCCTCCTTCCCAGCATGCAGGACCAGGTCTGTTCCTATCAGAGGCTTGACTTGGACCACCCCTACCCGCTGCTGCATCACGGAAGGTCAGCCAGTACACCCTGATTCCCATGAGGTCTGGTGGTGGTATTGGCCTGGCAGCCAGTTGCTGGCCACTAGATGGGACCTATGGAATGGCGTGGCCCCCGCCGTCTTAGGAGCTCTGGCCTTTCTTGCCTCCTGTTTTGTTTAGTGACAGACCTGGTAGTTGGAGATGAGTGCTTTTGCCTGGGCAGTTTGATTCCTCGTTTGAGGAGGAGGGAGATCTGCTTCCAGTGGGTGGAGTTAGTGGCCAGGCTGGAGGCACTAATCCATCTAAGTCTTGCTTTCAAAAGCCTTTCTCAGGTTGAGAGCCTTCACTGGATTCTCTTAAAAGCCTCTCCAGGCTGTCTAATCCTCTCCCATTCCCACTCCCTTTCTCAGAAGGAGGCAGGCTGCTGACTCAGCTGTTTCAGTTCCTCTGAGCCATTCCTGGAGGAGAGACTGTGAGCAAGTCTAAGGCACCCTCCCATTCACTGAGGGAAAGGTGGCAGGGAGGCCATGTGCCCTTTCCGGCCAAACAGAGTAGACCTGGAACAGCTCCTTGTTCTGGGTCCCTTAAACCTTAACAAGGAGGCACAGCCTTGCTTCTCATTCTGCCCCGCCCTGCATGCCACTGTTCTTTCCTGACTGAGGGGACATGTCCTAGCCTCAGCAGCTCTAATGAGATTAGGCTTCTCTGGTGTGTGCTGCCCTGTTTTTCTTCCTCAAAGAGCTTGGAATGAACACTTACAGAATGTGTCTGCTGCAGTGCCCCAGCTCCTTGCTCCTGGCTCCCTGACTGATGGGCTGGTGTGGCCTCTGTGGCTGTTTGTCCATTGGCTGGTGGTGGGGTATGAGCTAGAGTTGTAGCAGCACCTGGCTTGCCTGAGCCTGGCTGACTACACCCATCCACACCCACCTCTGGCCCTGGATGGACCTGGTTAAGCCAAGGCCAGGGCATATACACTGTCTCGCATGCTTTGCTGTGTTCTCTGCTCCTTGCCTCATGGTGTGTGCTGCCCACCCCAGTGTGTTGTGTGTCTAACCCTCTCTCTCGTTGGTGTCACTCTCCTCTTCTTGCTGGCGTCATTTCTCTCATCCCATCTCATTGGCTGCCGTAGCAATAGGTAAGCGGCCTGTCAAGCTGCCGCCCAGGCACAGGTGGGTGGGGGGGCCCTGCCCCCCCATCATTGTTTTTTTCATTTCCTGAGCTTGCCCTGGAATTGGATCCTGGCCAAGAATGGGAGACCCAGCTCCGTGGCTCCTTGGTGCTTCTCCCTTAATAGATTAGAGCCTTCTCTAAAGTCATGTTGGCTTTTTCTGGGGGAGCCACCTTCACCACCGGTGGGATCACTAGTGGGAAGACT